GCAACATAACAGTGTTTGTGTTAGCTAATGCTATGGTTAGCTACAATTATGGCTAGATAAGGTTAGAAATAATTTCAAAGTGTGATGGTGGTCACTATGGTGAAATAGATAGTCACTTTAAAAAATAGCTTTTGTGACAAGCAAGGAAAAAGGCACGTCAATATTAGGGTTTGTCTCCAGTTTGACCCTATAAGTTAGATTCAACCCTCGCAACTGACTACAAATCAAAGATATTTGAAGTAAGAGGACACACTAAGCCAATGAAATTCACTGCTAAAGGTCAATATGTATCAGAACATGTATGAGAAATTAGTGATGAAGTAATCAGGTGAAAAAAAAATCTAGATGCCCCATATTAAATAGTGCAAGTAGCATTTTTTTTTTACAAATTATATGACAATAAAGCTATGAATGTGACATGAGCCTAGTAAATCAATTGAAGTAAACTGGACATTTGAAGACTGAAACTTTCAAGTCTGTAAATTGATCTTATAATTTCTCAAAAATTAAGCAAATGTCTACATATTTCTGTACACAGGGAAAGTTGCAGAATACAAATATGGTATATTTAGAGTATACACGATGGGTATGTGGTTTGGGTGTAGGATGGCTGTAAACTCAAGCTGTGTTTGAGATGTGTGTTATAGCTTTCTGTGTGTGATGTATAATGCTGGCTGTGTGTATAGCTGTGAGTGATGTGTGTGGCTGTGTGTGGGTACCTATGTGAGTATCTGTGAATGATAAGTTCAGGCCGCTATGAGTGATGTGTGTGACAATGTGAAATGTGTGGGGAATACATGTGGCAGCCCACATGGTGAAATTTTCATTTGGGACAAAATGGGAAGCGAGATTTAAGTGAGCTGGCCGTCAGCCCAATATAGTTAGCGGGGGGGGGGGAGATAGGTGCCCTCGTAAGTGGTTAAAGGCTGTAGTGTGGGATAAGGGCTGCACTGGAAAGAGGAGCTGTAGTGGGGGTAGAGGCAGTAGTGGAGTGTTAGGGGCAGTAGCGGGAGGGTTAGGACATGTATGTAGGGGTGTTAGGAGCTTTAGTGGGGTTGGTAAGGGCATGAGGAGAAAGTAGCAAAGACAAAAAACCCAAACATTATTAGTTAAACAAAAAACTTAAATAACATGTCTTTCCCCTCCCTGAAGCTTACCTTACCCAGCGGGTGCTGACAGCAAATAAAAGCTAATGCCAGGAAATGCATCAGAGCATTGCTGCAGCAATACTCAAATACAGTAGAAGGAACAGAGAACTTGACCAGAAGGTACAGACCAAGTTCTCCCACCTCCTCCTAGGCATCACTGGGAAGATGGCTTAAGTTTTGGGGAAGGAGGGTACACAGGCTGGTAAGGGAGACCTTTTAATCTCCCTCCCAGCTTGTTCAGCAGCCAGCACTCCAGCTTCATTAGGGTGCACATGCCCCATGGGTATGCCTATACACAAAAATACCACCTGATGAAGTGAGAAAGAAAATAATTATATATAGTGACCTGGGACCATACAATCACACAGTCTTAATGATAGGAACACCACACAAATCGGATTTCTTTCTTTATAGCAGTCCTGTGCTAATCATTGGCAACAGGTGAGCAACTATCTGGGTGATCCAGAACTCCTGGATTGGATTGCTCACCTGCTGTGCTGCATGTAAACTGTGGAATGGAGCACTGGCCCTCCCTTCACTCCAAATGCTCCACCCCGGGAACCCATATTAAATAGCAAAATAGCTCTGACTAACACACACAGACATTCTTCCTGGGGCTATTAATTTACATATTCCAATACTTTTGGAGAAATATACGCTCCAACCATAACAATGCCTTGCACTCTGTCACAATATATACATACATTGATCATCCACAACTTTAAAACTACCTGCCTAATATTGTGTAGGTCCCTCTTGTGCTGCCAAAACAGCTCTAATGCATTGAGGTATAGACTCCAGAGGACCTCTGAACGTGTCCTGTGGTATCTGACACCAATACATTAGCAGCAGATTCTTTAAGTCCTGCAAGTTGTGAGGTGGGGCCTCCATGGACAGGATTTGTTGTTCCAGCACATCCCACAAATGCTCAACTTGATTGAGATCTGGGGAATTCGGAGGCCAAGGCAATACCTTGATCTCTTTGTTATGTTCCTTAAACCATTCCTGACCAATGTTTAACATGGGACAAGGTACCGCTACTGCCATCAGGCAACACCATAGCCATGAATGTGTGTATGTGGTCTGCAACAATATCTAGGTAGGTAATACTTGTCAAAGTAACATTCACATCAATGCCAGATCACTCTGACCAGGCTACGGCTACGCAGTCCCATACGCAGCAAACATCCCACAAGACTTGCCATTTTGGTGAGGCTCTGACCGAGTCATTTAGCCATCACTATTTGCTCCTTGTCAAAGTCACTCAGATCTTTTTGCTTACCAATTATTTCTGCTTCCAAAAGATGAAATTCAAGAACTGACTGTTCACTTGTTGCCTAACATATCCCGCCCTTCGACAGGTGCCGTTGTAACAATATGATAATTTTTCTTTTTATTCATGTTTTGGTCACTGGGTATTGCCACGCACCCCCACTGTAGTCTTTCATCCATGTCTACCACCACCATGTCAGGTTGGCTGGTCACTATTGTCTTGTCTGTTTGGATATATATTTGAAAGATATGGTCAATTAGCAGTAGAAAACTGAATGTAGAACCTTACTTACTTAAGAATACAAGGGCTATTCACTATTATCATTATTATTATTTATGGAGCCAAGAATTTCACAGTCCTGTACAACAGTTGGACTAACGGACAACTATTTGCAATAAGACTAGTTGGACGCACAGAAACAGAGGGTATTGAGCTCAAACAAGATTACTTTCTAGAGGGAGTGGGTTAAAGGCACAAAACTTAAGGATATGATGTGCTTCATTAATGGGAAAAAGTAGGTTACTAGAATAGCTTACAATGAAGCGTTATTTTTTGGGGGGATGACACAGTTGCGAGAGATGAAGTAAGGTGGGTTACCAAGATACAGGGAGGGAAAGCTATCAACAGTTTCATTGATATGCTTTCCTACAGAAGTGAATTGTTTTGTTTTTTATTCTTTATTTTGTAGACTTTAATGGTTTATAAAAGCACAATACACATTAAAAATGAACTTCAAATATAGAGAACATAGAAAAACAGTTAGTATCGAGTATAACAGAGTTTGTGGCCTATTTCACGTATACTTGTACATTTGGTAGCATGACATTCCAGAGGATTGATAAACACAAAATAAGTGACACAGTGTTTTTGGCTGCTGTATCGAACATTACAATGTTGGTAATAAGGATAGATAGATGAAAGGAGTAGGAAAAGTTCCTTTGGTGTTCTATATGAGGATAGGATACAACTTTAGTTGTTAGGCACTGTATGCTAAGGTACTGTAGGAAGGCCTCGTAACAAATGGCATATTGCGTACTGTTGGGGTGGGTATTAGGGTGTCCTAACACCTGTAGCAAGTACTTCACTCAGTGAGATGAGGCCACTTTATAAAGTTGTGTTAAATAGTGAGTTTTTAATGATCTTTTAAAGGAACTGAGGCTGGGTGAGAGTCTAATGTAATAAAAAGTGAATTTCAAATTCAATGCCACAGTGTCTAAAATAAAAGTATAGTTGACTCAGAGACTATTTCCAGTTTGGTTATTTCGAGCTTAAATTTGAAATTCACGGGGGGCGGAGCCAAGCTACTGCACTGAATGGCCGCACACAGTCCGAGCTCCGGACGAAAAAAACACGATTATCCCTATAATACCGGTCAAACCTACCGGACCGGAGACAAAACGGGTGCCAAAGCTGCTGAAGCAGAAATGGGTCGAAAAACGAAGAAACCCAAGCCCGACAAGCCACGGCAGCAAGCAAGCATAGGCGATCTCTGGAGGCAGGCTCGGGGCGCGATGGGCCCTGACATGGCCGCTTCCCGGACGAGTATTCCAACCTCTCGGACGACTTCACGGCAGACCCAGAGGTAGCTACCAAAACTGCCCCACAGAACCCTCGCCAATCTTCCCCACAAGCTGATTCTACCCCAGTCACCACGGCGGTGCTGAAAGAACTGCTCGCTGGGGTACAGCTCGCTCTACAGGCAGACATGGCCCAGATACGTACAGACCTGCAAGGCCTGACAGGCCGCATGGGCGCCCTAGAACATGGCGCGAACCAGAACGCCAAACACAGCAGTTACAACAAAAGGTCTCTGAGCTGCAGAGACAGAATATACAGTTTGAAAAACACTTTGCCACACTAGAAGACCAAAGAAGAAGCAAGAACATGAAGATCAAGGGCATAGCAGAGGAAACGCCGGAGGCTGAGCTGCCCCACCTTGTACGACGGCTCTTCACAGCCCTCCTTATGCCTAAGCATGCCAAACAGATAATCCTAGAGGGGATGTTTTGCCTCCCATGGCCAGCCAAAGCCTGAGGTACCCTACCCAGGGACCTGTTAGTACGCTTCACTAGCAACAAAGACAAAATGGCAGTGATGAACGCAACCAGAACCCAGTCCCCCTACATATTTGAGGGCATGTCGCTCACATTCTATACAGACCTGTCACGGTCCACAATGGCCTGGCGCCGCTCTCTCCAACCCTTCACTTCCCTACTTCGTGCACAAACCATCACCTATAAATGGAGGGGCCCACATGCGCTACAAGTAAGCCACGGAAACAGCCAATACACCGTTCAAGACATGCAGGGCGCACGCGACCTATTGCCCACGTTGGGCCTGCGAAAGGACTCCTTACCTTCAGGGGGGCGAAGACCGACCAATGCACCATCTGGGATGGGTGACCCCGCCACGTCTCTTCCGTTTGTCCCCAGAGAGCTCAATGCCGCGAACTACGCAGCGATTACGACCTGAGGAGACCAGAAGGGAGAATATGGGACTGTGTCCGCATCTATATGGACTCCTGAACATAACACTGGACAGAACGCACAAGTTGACTTAAAATTTTATTTCCTTCCTTTTTTTTTTTTTTTTTATGTTGTCTTAATGTTGGTCACTCTTTGCAGCCCGGCCATGCCTTAGGTTTAAGCGAGACCGACCCACTAAGCACCCACTCTCTCACTATGAGGGCGGAAGAATGTTTTCACTCCCACGGCACCCACAGCGCCCTGTGTCACAGGGCACCACACAATAGTCCCTGATAGGGAACAGGCCTTTGGTACATCTCCCCGCCCCCCACCCAGGGTTACAGGGTATCAACCGATGCTTTTCATGTCGCAAGACACGAATCTCACTCCTTTTGAACAGCACACAACGCTTACAATGCTGCCACCCGCACTATCCACATTGAGTGGTTTCACTACTTCGACACCGCAGCGCCGGCAAGCATTAAAGGCAAGCCGAGCACACCTACGACGGTATGGCCTTCGTCACATCACTTCGTACTCCACTACACGTAGGTCTGCAGCACAACGATACAAGACTATAACACTATAAAATGCGCAATACAAGCACTAGCCATGTAATTGTTTTATGTTGATTGTTATACCATGCTTGTCACAGCTATTGTGGCGTTTCAAGTCGATTTGTTATAATGTGCAAATAAAATAAAGAATGTTAAAAAAAAATTGAAATTCACTTTGAATTCTCACTTTAGTGAATAACCCTTACAGTATTACTTCTACTCTCTATGTGTGAGAATAATAATAAATTCAAGTCAGTCAGTCATGCATTGCCTATTTACATGCCTCTCAGCATTAGTCCTGAGAGATATGACACTAGCAAGAGCTGGTTAATATTTCTATGTAACGCCAGATGAAATCATTAATTTTCCATTTACATTAAAAAAGAGACAAGTTTCTTCTGGGATTATTGATTGAAGCATTCCATAGAGAATACATGAAAAATATAAAATTTATAGAGATGTTGTACGTAGGTTTTTTTTTTAATGTGGTGTGTAAGCATTATTTGAAGTACATTTTCTATTTTAAAATAAGCAGATGTTGCATTAAAACAGCAGGTAATCACCCTTTGTACTGAAATTGCACACCTAGAGGCTTGTAGACATTATTATTCTATCAATCATAGTCAACTTTTTAAATTGAGAGTTGTGGCGAAAGTAACCTCACCACGGGCTCTTGTGGGGGCCTACTGGCCAGCCTCTTGCCAAGAGACTATGGGCCCTTTAAAAAAAATTATGTGATTTATGTAGTTTTGTACTCCAGAAAGAGAGACCATTAGCCCTAATTCCCTGGAAACGGAGAACAACATAAACTGGGGATCTAAACAGGTGTTCTAATGTATTTGTACATGTATTTGTACACAAGTTCTGTTGATTCTAATTTTCCTTTTTTTTTTTTAACCTGTTTTAGAATAGATGCATTTGATGCTGTATCTAGTCACATGCTTGCTCTAACCCAAAGCTGTTGGTTTAGGCCCAGAGGAGGCGGGCTGAAAAGCTAGCCGGATAGGAGGCATGTGTGGGTGTGGTGAGTGTAGGTGTCACATGTGGGGGGTGTCACTTAGGATAGGGGTGGGGTGGGGTCATATAAAGGGCAGTCAATTTGTCCCTTACCTCAGCCATCTTAGAATAAACGGCTGGTAACATCTTCCCTCCTTGCTGCCTGTTACCACTGCTTGTCTCACGGCCAGGGCATGGACATTGAAGCCATCTTGTCTGCCCTCAGGGCTGAGGCCCTTCAAGATGGGGGTCTTCACCTGCAGTCCCAGCTGGCGCGGCTGCAGGGTGCTGCTGGGTCGGCTGTTCCCTCTGTCTCCAGCCCCAGCGTTCAGCGCCGCCGTGCACGCCCCCCTACCCGGTATAGCCCCTCGCGGGAGGGTCGGGTGAGGGGTAGGAGCAGGAGCCCTGTGGCCGGGCCGCGCGCCAGTTCCCAGGTGGCCGCGGCCGGCGAGGCCTCCCCCACTCCTGGCACTCCTCGGGGAGGCCGGCAGGTGGCCGCGCGGCGGTCTGATGCGGCCCACGCTGCCTCTCACACACCTCCCCCGCCGGTCTCGCGGGCATTGAGGAGGGCGGCGGCGAGACCGGCGTTCGGGAGGGCTCCAGCAACCAGAGCTTCCCGGCATGCGGCTCCCGTGACCCGTGGGTTGCTAACCCACTCCTCCGGTCGGGTGAGTAGGCCGCAGGTCGGCAGGGTCGTTTCCGGGGGGGGGGGGGTCTGGGGGCCATGGGAAGACATCTGTGTCACTTCACCCCCACAGCAGCTCCCCTCCTGCTCTGCCCTCCTTCCCTGCCTCCCCTGGGCCTGCTCCTGGCACTTCTTATAATGCCACCCCACCTACAGTGGGTCCCTCTGGGGTTGGCACTTCCCCTCTTCCCACTGTCTCTGCCCCATCACTCCACCCCTCCCCCTCACCTGCCCCCCTTGTGTCAGGGATCCTCCCTGGTACTCCTGGTCCTGCCCTTGGCTCACTGTCTGCCCCATCTGCGGGCCCTCTCAGGGTGGGGGTCCATCATGGTTTACCTGTCCCTCCCCATCATCCTGGGCCTGATCCGGGCACCCTCCTTGACGGGTCCCATTCCACCCTTCCTGGCCCTACGTCTGTTACTTTACCATCCGCCTCTCCAGGTACTTTCATGGTGGGTGTGGGAGGGTTGGGTTCCTTTTCACCTTTACTTTCTTCACAGAGTGTCCCTGGTCGGGTGCGTTTCTCTGACTCTGGCGCTGGTGCAGTCCCTTCTGCGGTTACAGCTCCCGTGGTTCCGCCGCAACCTGTGGACCGGGTTATGGGGTCGCCGCAGCTGCCGTCACATTCCATTGCCTCTGGTGAGTACGCTGGTTTATCGGGGGATGCCTTAAGGGGTATTGGTGCAGGGGTCCTACCTCAATGGGACGCTTTAATACAAACCATGAGACAAGTTTTACAGTCTCTGGAGCAGGGTCATCGTCCTGGACTGCAGCCCCCTTTAGCCCTTGACGATCAGCTGCGGTCAGGGTGGGCGGCTGCTGGTGGTTCTGACCTTTCAGGGGTTGTAGCATTGCCCTCTGCTGCCCCCGCAGGGCCCAGTGGCCCTGTGGTGCCAGTTCCTCCAGTGGCGGAACTTGAACCATCCAAAGGATCCTCGGATGACGCCGCGGCATCTTCGGGGTCAGGGGTAGCCCCCGCTGCGCATGGGGCGGCTTACATGTGCTGGTCAGGCCCTCTAGGTCTCCATTTGACTCCGGAATTGCGCACCAAGATAGAGAAAGGGGAATTCGTTGAAATATTTTCCTTACTCCCTATGGAGGATCTGCCTCGTGTTGATCCTGCGGCAAAAGACTCCGAAAAGGAGAAGGAGAAGTTTAGGTATCGGAAGATACCAAAAACTTTTGGTAATTGGATCAGGGCTTTTTCTATCCTGGCGAGTGTGATAGGCGAGAAGTCCCCCAATAAATGCTCATCCCTCTTTTGCTATCAGGATACGATATGGAACGCGTGCCGGACCTATGGCGGATTAGGCTGGTGGCGCTATGATGAGCAGTTTCGCCAGCGCATAGCGGTCCGCCCATCGTTGAGTTGGGACCAGATGGACATCGGCTTGTGGTTGGCCATCATGACCCGCCCGGCATCGCATCAAGGGGGCCTCTCGTCCTTTCTCGGGGGGGCCGGCGCAGGGTCTGCGACCACTGCGTCGGCCAATCAGCGTCGAACGGGCTGCTGCTGGCAGTATAACGACGGGCAATGTAAATTCGGCACGGGTTGTCGTTTCAAGCACGAGTGCTCTGGGTGCGGCGGATCGCATCCCGCCTCCAAATGCTTTAAGCGGGGCAGGACTGGCGACAAGGGTGACGCCATGGGCTCTAAGGGCGAGGACGCCAGTGGACGTCGGCGCGATGCAACCGTGGTTAAAACGTTATAGAAATAAAAAGGCGGCTGCCTTACTCCTGGAAGGTTTTTCGTTTGGTTTTTGGATTCCCCATCAACATCGTCCGGCGTCAAAGGTATGCCGGAATTTGCGTTCGGTCTATGACCACCCTGGGGTGGTCAGGGACAAGTTGGCTAAAGAAGTGGCTTTGGGGCGTATGGCAGGCCCTTTTCGGGAATCTCCTCTCCCTGATCTCCGGGTGTCGCCATTAGGCGTCGTACCCAAGAGAGAACAGGGAAAATTTCGGCTCATTCATCACTTATCGCACCCCCAAGGGGGTTCTGTAAATGATGACATTGCATCAGAATTATGCCGTGTTTCTTACGCCTCATTTGATGCTGCGGTTTGTATGGTCAGGGATGCCGGATCGGGGGCACTCATGGCAAAAGCAGACATCGAGTCTGCTTTTCGTCTTTTGCCGGTTCACCCGGGGTGTCATCACCTCTTAGGTTGCTATTTTGAGGGGCATTACTATGTGGACATGTGCCTCCCGATGGGCTGTGCGATATCCTGCTTTTACTTTGAATGTTTTAGTTCCTTTCTTGAATGGGTGGTGAGAATGGAGTCTGGTCACAACTCCCTCCTTCATTACCTAGACGATTTTTTGTGTGTTGGTCCCGCGCACTCCTCAATCTGCGCACATATTTTGCAGTCATTGGCGGATGTGGCCTCTGGGTTTGGTGTGCCTCTGGCGCCCGACAAGACAGTTGGCCCTTCCACGTGCCTGTGTTTCCTGGGAATTGAGATTGATTCAGTTATCGGGGAATGTCGGCTCCCAGTGGACAAACTGGTGGACTTACGGGGGTCTGTGCGGGAAGCGGGCTCCTTGCGAAAGATCACTCTTCGACGCCTTCAATCCCTCTTAGGCAAGCTGAACTTTGCCTGTCGGATCATGCCTATGGGCAGAGTATTCAACAGGCGCCTGGCGGCTGCCACGGCTGGAATCTCGAAGCCCTTACATTTCATCCGCTTAACCAAGGCGCTCAGGGATGATCTGGTAGTCTGGGCTGTTTTCCTTGAAACTTACAATGGAAGGTCTTATTGACAACAGCCTGAGGTTTCGAATGCCGCGCTTCACTTGTTTACAGACGCTGCGGGTTCCTCTGGCTTTGGGGCAATCCTGGGGCCTCATTGGTGCGCAGAGCCGTGGCCTGTATCGTGGGTCGATTCAGGCCTTACCAAGAACTTGGCGTTCTTGGAGCTCTTCCCCATCTTGGTGGCTGTTCACTTATGGGGGATGGAGCTCAAAGACAGGCGCGTCGTCTTCCACTGTGATAACCTGGGTGTGGTTCAGGCCATCAATAACCTGACGGCCTCTTCCCCTCCGGTGGTTAGGCTATTGCGTCAATTGGTTTTGCGATGCTTGTCTCTGAAC